GAAAACCCAATTCACCCCCCCTCTTGGGTTGTGCCATATATATTCGGGACCCACATGTAGAATATATCTAGATAATTATATAAATATCGATGAATTGAGGTCAAAGGTAGTTGTGAAAATATCAAGCCAGGAATAGCGAGTATTTATGATGTAAATTGTAGATTTAAAATGAAGTGTTATAGAAATAGTATGACTGATATTATCATTGGAACATGATTGAAGGAAGATGGGATTTAGAACCGATTGATTGCCCGACGGATAGGCCATGTGATTTGAGTAAATGGTTAGATGAATGAATATGGTTATGACGAACGGGTCAGTTGTTGTGAATTGCTCGATAGATGGGCTTTGAGAATTGGTTATTGAATTGTGGTTTAATTCAATTTTTAGGGGAGGTTCCGCCGAAATTTCGTTAGAATTTAGGGTAGTCATAATTAATAATTAAGTTAATGGGTTTATTTAGATTAATTCTTTAACTTGATATATTTAAAATAAAGTTCCTTATTTAAATTATTATTTATTTATTTAAGTTAATGGGTTTATTTAGATTAATTCTTTAACTTGATATATTTAAAATAAAGTTCCTTATTTAAATTATTATTTATTTATTTATTTGTTTGTTTGTTTGTTTTACAAGGGTCAATTATTATAACATATTGTTAATTGTTACTCCTTTGTTTAATTGGAATTGAATAGGAATGTCTAATTGTGCACTTGCATCATGATATTTAATTATTTGTTATGTTTGCATTAAATTGCAATGCTTGATTATTTGTGTTATGATATGTTATGCTTTGTTTGTGTGGAGTTGGGATGAAGTGGGTCACCATTGGTTTTTGAGGACGGTCCAGGAACTGATGAAATTACGAGATTTGAAATTATGAAAATATGAGATTTGACCGTCAGCCAGGTATGGGGAGATCAGTGCCCCCGTGTGCACCTAATGATATGATATGGATGATATGGAAACCATAGGGTGGCCTCCTGTTGGTATGGAAAAGAAAAGAGAGAATGGAAAAACAAGGAGAGGGCTGGTTAAGTGAGGATTAGACCGGTTGACCATGTATGGGGGATCAGCTCCCTGATGCACACGTCATGAGAGGATGGGCCATGTGGGAGGATGGTTCATTGAGGGTTTCGGTGATGCCACAGACCAATTTTCACATGATGTGATTATGTGAAGATGATAATATTTGTAATTTCTGTTGATATGCCATTTGCGTGATCATTTGTGTGATCATATGAGTTATTCAACTTTTCAGGTAGTAGGTTCCTCTTCCTTTTGGTCTAAGCTCTGTTCCTTTTTATCACTGAGCTAGAAAGAAATTTCCTAGTTTCAGTCATTAAATTGCTATATAACTATATGTATAAGAATATAATTGCATTTATCTATTAGTGAACTCCACAGTTGTACGATCTATATACCTTTAGTCGTGTACTAATATAGATGAAATAATTTTGTAAGCCCATAATATAAATGTGTGTATTGTAAACTGGGCCTCGATTGTAAATGTTTAAGATGTTATAGTTTGGGGCCAAATTATAATATAAATATGAGGTTTATATTCGCATATATGGGCTTAATGTTTGGAAATCACGTTTTTATAGTTGAATTTGTAGCTAGGCTTACTACGGGCCTCGGAGGCGTTAAGCTTACCTGGGCCCTAGTGCCGGTCCGACCAATGGAATCGTGTGGTGACAACAGGCTTTAGCAAAAAAAAAAAAAAAAAAACCGCACCAATGGAATCGTGGTGGTGACAAACAAAGGCTTTAGCAAAAAAAAAAAAAAAAAATCAAAATTATAAACGTTGATCTAAACAATAATAAAAAAAAAAAAAAAAAAATCAAAATTATAAACGTTGATCTAAACAATAATTAATATATTAATTATTATAATAGTTATCTATCTATAATATATAATATCTATATTTCAAATTCAAAATATAATAAGTTAAGTCAAGCTAATTTCTCACTTTGAAAAAATTTTCGATTTGTTATTTTATTATTTCATAATTTTTTTTCTACTTTGTTAATGCTCTTAGATTTTTAGTAATATAAATTGTTCATGATATTACTCTATATGTCTCAAAATATAAGTCGTTTAAGATTTTTGCACAAAGATTAAGGAAACAATTGATTCTCCTAGATTATAACAAACTCAAGAGTAATTTGACTAATTTCCTTTATCTTAAGACCAATAGTTATTTTTAAAGTATTTACTGTATTTAGTGTAAACAATGGCAACATTGAAAAAACATAATTTATTACTTTTTGAAATACACTAAATCACTTATATTTTTGGGATAAAATAACAAATCAAAAAAGACTTACGAAATAAATATAAAGAATTACAAAGAGAATAACTAGGGAATAATTTTATACACAAAGAGAATAGAGATACTCATGGTAATATAAAAAGATCCTCTAGAATTAGGGAATATCATTACTCCATTCACATTCATTAGTCACAGAAACAGTTAGCTCTAGCAACAGATCGGTTTTGTTGACTTAGAAACAAAATTTACTGTGCTAGTAAAATAAATATGATATTGTTTTATATAAAACATTAAAATCTAACTTGAAGTATACATTTTGCAAACCTTTAGATTTAATCCTTTGCATAATAGTTAGATTTAATCATATTTTATCCTAAACTTTGTATTTTGGTGCAATAATACACTGTTTACGAAAATTAATTATTTTATCCTAATTTGAAGTTTTTATTGCAATTATACCTCAGATTAAAAAGGGAATTAGTTGTTAAGAGCAAAAGTTCAAAACTTCAATTAAACAATACTCAAATTAGTGAGTGAAGCTTCTAACGGTGGAGAGATAGAGGCTGCAAAGTCAGAAAGGGATACTTCATGCATCATCCATGTATAATTTCGTTAAATACATGAACTGAAATGAAATATCTAAGTTACAGGTTGGGAAGGGTATGTCACGATGTGAGCATTTTCACTACAATACAGAACAACTGATGTCTGCTTTACAACTACAATTTTTAGAAACTCTTTGTTGGAATTGTAATTTATTAAATTGAAAGGAAAATGCACATTCTCTCCTACTTGACAGATAAATTAAACAGTTTATTTTTAAAAAAAATATTACAATTACGTGAAAATATAAAGTTCGAGACAAATGGCCTCGAAGTAGAAATAGGTGAAATGAATAGTTAGAAAATTTGTATCCAAGGATTTCCTTAATTGAGGGAATATCTTGCCATGAAGCCAAAATGTTATCCATAAATTTTATCCCATTTTTTTTGAATTTTTTATATTTTAACACTTTTTAGATCCTTTACACTGTATTTACGAAAAAAAAATGGCGACGAATAATTTTTTATACTTTTTGTTTTAATAATAATTTTTTAAATTAGAAAAGGTAATATAATCAGTTTAATATTAAAAAAAATCATTGCTATGGTATTAACAAAATGCGATCTGAAAATAATTCTACCTTTATATAAAATTAAAAATTAATACTTTCTATTCTAAAATTACTTAATTTATTAAATACTATACTAGTACAATTGGATTAAATATAATCTGCAATTAAGTTGAACATTGTAATCCAAATTTAATTTATTAAACTTCCAAAAAATTGTAATAAATTAGGAGAAATCAATGATTATTAAACCAAAAATTAATAGACTATGAAAGTCAATAATTAAAAATTAACAAAATAAAAAAAATAATTAAGTTTGAACTTTTTTTTTGGACAAAAAAATTATTTAAAAAAGTCCAATCAATTAAAAATTAAGGCAAGATAAAAGAAAATAAGTTAACGTTTGAACTTTTTTTTTGGACAAATAAAATTAGTTTAAAAACAAAAATTAGGGGGCCGTAGCATGGTGCCGTCCATCGAATAATTAAAAATTAACAAAATAAAAAAAATAATTAAGTTTGAACTTTTTTTTTGGACAAAAAAATTATTTAAAAAAAAAATTCAGGGGGGCCGTACATGGGTCCGTCCATGACCATAGAACCGGTCTAATTGGTTCTAATCCATCATCTACTATACGTTTTTGCTATTTAATTTTTTTACAGGAGAAACAGGTTGCGAGCTGATGATTCATGCATTCTGCAGACCATAAGGTTAATTGGGCACGTAAATTTTGTGAGTTCGTGGGTGAATCACACATTTTTTACTGGAGAATATTCAAAGGATGTGAGACGATGGTCCGCGCATTCAAGTTTAAAAGAATTTGTCATCTTCTTGGTGTCTTTCTTTCAAAAAAAAAAAAATCTTCTTGGTTTTGCCGAGAGCTGCCTGAGTAATTTTAATCCAAAGAGATGAATAATGCCTATGAAGATACAAGTAACTACAATTGCGCCAAAAAGTAGTGACGGATCCAAAAATCAGGCTAAGGGAAAGCCAAGAATAAAATAAGGAAAATATTTTCCGTACAATTTATGTCTAACATAAACGAAAAGACTATAATGTTTTTAAAAAATTTTTAACAATTTAAATATGTCACACTAAGGATATGATTACAAATACGTATAGATTATACGAAACAAAACTTGTTTTAGATATATCACACTAAAACTGTGATTACAAATGTGCATAAATTGCACCAAATGCAACTTGTAGTGTTTAGTAGAGCTCAAAAAAAATTTCATAAATTGAAGAGGGGCCAAATAAAAAAAATAAATTTCTTCTAAGTAAAAGTCTAAAAATAAATTTTCGAGGGTAAAAATGAAAAAAAAAAATTGATGCTAGAGGGGGCGTTGGCCCCTCTCCCTCCACCATTGGCCAAAAGGATTTTGACCTGTTGACTCTCATGTAAAGTTTGTTGATCTCGGTTAAGAATTTGATAGAATGGCGATTCTATGATAATTAGTTGTTTAACCTTTTCTTTTGGAAAAGAAGATTTTTTTTTAAGGAAATATCAAGAGAAAATATTTAGTTGTTTGAAAAGAATCGAGGAAAATATATGAAGAAGGAAAATATGCATTATTTTCCTTTAGGGATGACAAAATTAGAATCTTTCCAAATTGGAAAAAAAAAATGAATGAATTGAGAAAATTACATTTTTTAATATGGATTGTGACTCAGTTGACAATATAAGCTAGACATGTAAGAAGAGCTCTCGGAGTCGATTAGGCGGATTAGGCGGTCACTAGTAATAGGATGTAGATACCGATAGTTTCAAAAAAAAACAATTAAGCCCATTTGGCCAGGAGAGACATACAACCAGCTCCAAAAAGAAGAAAAAAATTAACTCCAAGTAGACATACAACCAGCTCCAAAAAGAAGAAAAAAATTAACTCCAAGTTGAAGTTTTCCATTAGCTTGCACTCTTGGATTCATAAAATCAGCAGCAAGGAGATCGACCAAAGACATATATATCAAAATTCCAGATGAGGCTGCGTTAAATACTCCTTGAACAATTAAAGCTTTGGGGCTATTCTCATCATACCCATTTGATATAGCAATTCCAATTGCTATCCCAACTGGGGTTGTTAGTGAGAAAAATGTTGACATGATTGCTACAGTCTTTGCCTTAAATTTTGCCTGCCAAAATCCGAATAATTATTTTTCTTTTTATATCTTATAAAATAATTAATAGCGTAAAATTAAAATATGTAACAAAATTTAATGAATTGAAGAAAATTTTCTTCCACTTTTTTCCATCAAATATAGAAGGAAATTAAAAATATATATATATATTACCTGAGAAATACATCCACCAAGGCCCATGCCTTCAAAGAATTGATGAAATGTTAGGGCAGCAATTAGAGGTCTTATTGTCTTTGGATTTTCAGAAGCACCTAAAGAAATTCCTATTATTACAGAGTGGACCACAATTCCCAACTCCAAAACCTACATCAAGGAAGGAACTGTCAAAGTGCTTTTATTTTATTAGAATAATATATTGCTCAAAACCAAAGACATATAATATTATTTGACTTGTGATAATTCTGATAGATTAGAATACTAATAAATACACATTATAAAAATAACAAAATCACAAAAACATAATGAGTTTTCGTTTCAAAACATAATTAGTAAAATTAAAAATTATTACTAGAAAAAGACTAAATATTCTCAAAAAAGAAATTAATAAAAGTGTTAAGAATTTTTAATTTATTTTCAAATAGAGCCTAATTAAATTTAAATAAAAAAAGAAAGAGAGAAAACTGAAAATAAATGAAAAAATTACCTGCGAAATTACTCGATGTCGAAGGAGTTCTGATGTAACAGAATTCTCAGCCAAAACCATGCCATGTGAATGGCCATGACTTGCATGAGTATGAACATGTACCTCACCATCCCCAACCTTTTCCTCATCTGCACTTATGGATTGTTGATTTTTCAGATGAGACTTACTATAATAAGAGGTAGCAAAAGCATCCACCATCAAAGTGCCAATTGCAGAAACCATAGCAACAAAACCAGTAAACGGAAATTTTCCCCATGGATTTTTATCCAGACATGGCGATGTCAAGTTTTCAAAGGCATCAGGAAGCACATGAATAAACCCAGGGATTGTTGATTTTTCAGATGAGACTTACTATAATAAGAGGTAGCAAAAGCATCCACCATCAAAGTGCCAATTGCAGAAACCATGGCAATAAAACCAGTAAACGGAAATTTTCCCCATGGATTTTCATCCAGACATGGCGATGTCAAGTTTTCAAAGGCATCAGGAAGCACATGAATAAACCCAGTTGACAAAATTACTCCTGCTGCGAAGGCTTTTATTATGAAGAATATGTCCTTTTCGGGACGCAAAGCTGGAATAAATTTTCCGGCAATAGGAAGACAAACTCCGATTGCGCCAGCCACAAGTATAGCTGCTATGGCTGCAACTTTGTATTTTCGAGCCAAAGATTTGTCGATCACTTCATCCTCGGCTTCACATGTACATTCTCCATGGGCAAGCGAAGGGAGCAGCAGAAGAAAGCAAAAGATTGTGAAATAAAGAATGCTGAGTTTGATCATGTTGAGTAATAGATCAAAGAACAGAAATTTTGATAGACCAAAAATAAGGAAAAGGCCTCTCTTATATATATCTATATATATGTGTGTGTGTGTGAGTGTGAGTGTTTGTGTGTGAGTGTGTGTGGCCGGGGGGTGGTGGGTGGGGGGCAAGCTCTATGCCGCTTGAGGGTAGGTATAGAGATAAAGGGTCTGTTTGACATTGGAATCAGAGTTTGAAGAATAGCAATAACATAATTCAAAAACAAATTAATAATTAAATCAACAATGAGGAAACGATGAGGTAATTCCATCTGAAGATCCAGGTTGGACCAGCACAACTCATTTTATTATAAATAAAAAGATAGGAAATGACGATTAATTATCTCTAATAGGAGAAAGAAAAGGAGAAAACAAGGAAGTCAATAATATTACTTATATAGAAATGTGTAAAGAATGTCGACATTAGCAAATATATGGAAAGCAATTTCAAGGCTTTCATATTATAGAAGCAGAAATTAAGGGGCAAAGTCAAGTATAAAATGTTGATATTATGTGTATTTGTGAGTTAAGCCGTCTCATTCAATCTGCTTATATAGACTTTCCGCCTATCCTTTTCATGTTTTTCTTTTTATTACTTTTATTATTGTCTTTGTCATTTTTATTTTTCTCAATTCTCAATATTGCCCACTCATCAATTTATTAAAAATAATTTGGGTTATATTCTATAACATGTATTTTGTTTTGAAGCTTTTTGTTGGATAATATGTAGGTAATCTTTTAGAGAAAATAAAGTTTTTTTTTTATTTTTTGCGTTTTGCTTGTTATTTGAGTTGGTTTGTAATTTTTTGTTGTTCGGTTTGTTGTATGAGTTATGTTTAGTTTACATGTTAGTATTGTGTTGGTTAACTTAATTTATAGTTGATTAGTTTGTAATTACTTAGTTTGAGTTTGTTAAGCAGTAGGTTAATTTGTTGAATAGGAAGGTTTGTTAATTATGTTACTTTGAGGTTTGGGTTTACGCGTAGGATTAATTTGTTGAATAGGAAGGTTTGTTAATTAACTGTTACTTTGGATAATTGGTTTGTTATAATTTTGGTTCATTTTCCATTTTCCATCTTGCTAAAATTATCTCTGCCTTTCACAATTTGCAGATTGGCAATACTTCGCACGCACCAATTTCTGCAAAAGTTTCTCCAACTCAGTTAATTAATTCCTTTCCCCTTTCCTCGCTTTATGGTAGTCAGGCATTTTAAGTTTACACAGTGACTGTTTTATACGCTATCACCTGAAGTCCTACCACTTCAAAAACCTCATATCCGAATCCCCGCCATAAATAAATTGTATAAACAATAAAATTAAAAATTAATACAATATTCGAATAATTGATGATATCTTACGGTGTCATTTAGAGTACCAACTTAATTTCGCAACCCTCGCATTGCAACTTTGCTTCAACTTTTATAAAGCTAGCCGTGGCCGGCCCTGCCTGGCCCGCCGCGCCGCCCCGGACGTGGTGACTGCCTGTCTTCAGGCCGATATAAATCAGTATTATATACGGCCCAACGTACCACTTAATGGGAGGGGAATATTTGGATCATCAAAATACTCAATTAAGTTTGTGTATTGTTTAAAATTTTTAATTGATTATTGGTTCAAAACTAATGGTAAATTTAATTTTGATCTGGTTTTGACTAATCTTCCTTATTTAAATCTAAAATTCTATTGGAAATGAGGAAATCTATATTAGTTACTATGTAAGTATATATTCAATATGAATAAAATAAAATATTTTTAAGAATTTCTATGTGGTTGAACAAATAAAGGTGATTTATTTTGGATTGGTTATATTTATTCCTATTTAATTCTAAAACTTTCATTGGCACTAAATTCAGAACTTAGTATCTAATATTACTATAAGATATATATTAAATATGGGTAAGAATAATAATATCTTATAAAGATTTCTAACTTTTACTTGACTTCAACACAAGTAAAATTAATTTTATCTTTGATTAATTAATTTTTCTATTTATGAATGCTAAATTATAATTGAATAACAATACATAATTATATTATCGTACTAAGATAGATGTCATATACTTAAATATATATTATATACTAAATAATGTATATATTAAATATAGGTGAATATAATATCTTTAAGGATTTTAATTTATTATTGAAAAATAAAGAAATTTAATTTAGATTAATTATATTAATTTCTTATTTAATTCTAAATAATAGTGAATAAAATAAGAAATTATATTATATATTAAATAAGGTATATATTAAATATGACAATATAAGTATTGAATTTGATAAAATAAAAAAATAATATTATATGTTAAATATGCATATTTAAATATTTTAAACGATATAAAAATTTAATTTGATTTGTTGGCATTATTTAATTCAAATAAGTAAATAAATAATGAATGCTTGGTATGGTAAACAATAAATGTTTATCCTAACCTTATTATGTTCTTGAATTTTTTTCGTTATTTTTTAATTTACCATAGCAGAATAAAAGTAATTATTTTTAATAATTTTTATAATATAATTTTTAAATTTATTTGTTATAAATCAAACTAAAAATATATATTAATAAAAGTTATTCACAAGAAATTAATTATCTTTATTATGATAAATACATTTTATAATTAAAAACATTAAAAAAAATCCTATCATAAGGAATATTAATTAAATTATAAAAGTTAATTTATTGCATAACGGCGTTAAGTCGATAACTATCTTATTGCACTAGAAATTTTTAAACATTCTTCCCTAAATACTTGCACGATGTAACATGTCACTTTATGTGTTATTTTTATGTTTTTATATTTTTTTTCTTTTTTATTTTATTTTACAAGTCTTTTCATTTCTATCTTTATTATAGGTGATTTATGTAATTTCATTTTATTTTTTTTAATTCTTGCAAATGTCCTGGTTTGCTTGTTGACATATTAATTAAAAGTTTCCAATGAACTTAGCTTGTTCAATAAACTACAGTGTCTTGTATATTTATATAACTAGATTTATTTCATTTCATTTATAATTTCATTTCATTTATAATGTATTTCTAATTATAATTATTAAATCTCGAGTATATATATATATATATATATTTTATTAAATTCCGACGTTGATCATATAGTATATAGTATATATATACCTATATATATATATATATATATACTCTTATAAACACACTTTCATTAATCTACTAGCGGCAGCTACCACCTACACTTAGGTATGGCTACTGGTTCGGTTTTAATTGGAACCGAACCGTACTATAGATAAATTGAAATCGGACTAGAACCGGCAGTTCATAATTTTGAACCGGAACCGGCGGTTCAAGGGTCGGTTAAGGTTCATGTACATGTTAAAATATGAACCGGAACTGGCCTGGTCCGCCAGTTCCAGTCCAGTTCGAACCGGATGCGCAAAAAAATTGTAGCTTAAAATTTTTATAAAAAAATTTATATCACTTCATTTGATTATAGTTGATTTGATTTATGGTGAAGAGAAGTAGAATCGTACATAAGTTATAAAAAATGGTGAAAAAAATACACATGATATGACTTAATTTGTACAAAGAATGGTACATGAATAGTTGATTTATATATAAAAAAAAAACTTTCAAGTGTACAAGAAAAGAGTGTAATGGATAGGTTTTGATATGATAGGTGTTTTTATTTATTTTTTGGTAAATAAATTTTATTAATTTTTTTATCATTTATTTATTTATTTACTGTAATTTACTAAATTATCCAAAAATATAGCTGTCATTTTTCTATTATAAGGGACAATTTGGGAAACTAATAAATGAAAAACATGTATAAATATGATGAGTTGATGATTTTTTATTTCACAACTAATTATATCATAACTCTTCTCTTATTCTCGGGACAATTTGGGAAGCTAATAAATGAAAACATGTATAAATATGATGAGTTGATGATTTTTTTATTTCACAAGCTAATTATATCATGAGACTTTCTTCCTCTTAACTTCTCAATCAAATTTCTCAATTTCTATAGTTTCATAACATTTTTCGTATTTGTTATTTTCGCTTAATCATTGGAATTATCTATTGTTTATTTTTTAGTTTTCTTAGCATCCATTTCCCAAATTCTTGTCTCTAATTCGAATTTTGTTCATTCCTAAATTTTACTTCATTTGATTTTTTTATAATTTCGTTAAGTATTTGAAAATATGAATTTGTCCAACTCATTCATGTAATTTGTATTCCATTTATAGTTTTCTATATTAGTGAATTAGCAAAATTTGTAAATTTAATGTAATAATAGTTCTAAGTTAGTTAATAGAAGTTTTTCTTCTAAAATTTTATAATCATTTATTTAGTTAAAAAAATTTAAACATTTTAAAATTATTATTTATTTATCAATTCGGAATCAAAATTTTATTATTTTTTTTAAAATTTACGTAATACCGGAACGGAATCGGAACCGTAATTCCAACCGTCGATTCACCGAAACCGTGCTAAATCGTGCCGAACCGTGCCGGAACCAAAATCAGACTGGAACCGGAGGTTCAAGGGTTAATTCTGGTTCAAAATTTTAAACATCTTGAACCGGCGGTTCAGTGAACCAGAACCGGCGGTTCATTGAACCGACCATGCCTACCTGCACTTACTAATGATCACCATTGACTATCATCACTAGTCACTAACAACTGCTAAAATTTATCAGTTTTAATGCATTTATTCTCAAATTTAACAATAAATTTTAAAATATGAAATTTTTATAATAATAAATATTTTATAATTTTTATTAAATAATTTTTATATATTTTTTACAATTTTCATATTACAAAATCATATAAATGAATTGTTTAAAAAATTTCAAACAATTTTTTTTATTTTATAGGGACCAGGACGGGCCCTTAAGCTTATATATATGTTTTTTTTTAAATAAGTTTTTTCGTATTATTTTATTTTTTTTAAATATATGTTTATATGTTATATGTCAATATATACATCTGATAGAATCTTAAATAGAATTAATATATATATGATAGTGCAATAATTTATTAATTTTACACTTATCACATTTAGTATTTTTAGTCTATTTTTATTCTTAATTCAGTTGATTAGGCATATTTATCAATTAGGCATATTAAATTTAGAAATTTTCAGCATCTTTATTAAATAGACCTTTGTTGGATTTTTCAGGTGCATCTGAAATTGTATGTCTCCAAATTTAGTGTCGTTTGATTCATTGGAAAGTTAGGTCAGAGCACTGCAATGGCCAAAGGAAACAAAGCTCAGATCAGTCTTTAAAGCGATCAAATCTAGAACAGAAATTCAGCTTGGGTCTGTCACATCCATTTTTAGTGTTCAGCTGATATCTAAAATTCTAAATGTCCTAATGAAGCAAACCCAGGCCCAATTGACTATCAATAGCCACTTCTACAATTGTTATGAAGGGCTGAAGGTGAGATTTTGCTGTTTTGGAGGGGTTAAAAATGGCAGCAAAAATTGAATCATGTGGGCTGAATCGCCTCACAAACCAATTCTGGTTCAATTTGAAAGGATTTAAAATTCGTATGTTTGATTTACGAAACCAGATTCTTAATTTAAATTATTTCTCAATTGAATATTTATTGTTTCTTGCGTTCATTGTAATTAATCCATTGAATGATATACTAATATATTAATTAATTAAATACAAATATATTTAACTCCTTCCCTTGTAAAAAAAGGGATCTCGAATTTGTTGGATGAATTATTAAGTCAATTCTAATTAAAAAAAAATAAAATCAAGCTCAAAAATGAATAACATTGCACTTTTCCTATGCCATTTTCAACATAAAGAAATATGAAGAATGTTTAACAACAAGTCGTCATTCAATGAGTTCTCCACACTCCACACAAACATGACAACAATAATGAAGCTCCATAACCATTCCCATTGCCATGTTCTAATAATTCTGTGTTGGGTCTTCTCCTCGCAGCTATCTCCCTTGAAGCATTCGATTGTGCAGGAGCAATCTGATCACCGACAAACAGGGAATTATGATCTGAATTAAGCAGAACTGGAGAGAAATCATCAGGTCCACATAATATTGAGCTATTTCTTCTGTGAATGTCATCTGTTTTTCTCTCTACTTCAAGAAAGTGACCAAGTGAAGAAACATTGTCAGTTTTAACAGCATCAGTGCTTAGCTTCGAGCATAGTGAGAGCAACCATGTTTTTGGCTTGCAATTATTCTTTTGATCTCTTGAGGGTTCTGCTGTTCTTCTCCTGGTTGATCTTCGCGAGAGCTCTAAAATGCTAGAAACTCCAATCAGGCTCCCAAGTGTTATGCTCTTGTCATGGAAGAAAGATCCAGTGGACTGCATTTTGTAATAGATTATAATTGACCCTTCAAAAAATTTCGAACAGAGCATAAAAATTATCCCACAATTTACCAATTAATTAGACTAAACTTTATTAATCTTTTCATTTTGATTTTACCCTGATTGGTTAAGACGAAAATGCCAAAAAGAGAAAGGGAAGTAATACCTATATCACCAAGGATTAATCAGATAAAATTCATAGTGCACTGATCTGTCCTCAAGAATAATAGTACAAGGAATCTGAGCCCCTTCCAGTCATGGTAACTAAAATACTCACTAATTTCATAAAAGAGAAGGACTATTTTTTTTTTTTTCTTTTTGAGAAAGACTACACTGTTTTTATTCATGGTCCAAATTGTAAAAGGGGATGAATTATAGTCCTTACAATTTAATAAAATTTGTAAGTAAGATTTATGTTTTCAGAAATTAATTTTAATTGTCATTCAACCAAAATAATCCATCTACTAATTTATTTTTATACATTCGAATTTTCTTTTGTATATCACAGTCAAAACAAAAAAAAAAAAAAAAAAAAAATCACTCTTTAGTAGACTAACAAAAAATCAGCAAAATCTATAGAAAAAGATTTTTTAGTTAGACGATAACAAAATAAAGAGGCTATTTAATTAATTTTTGAAAACAGAAATTCTAAGGATTAAACAGTAATTTACAATTAACTTTAAACCTGCAAGGATTATTGCCAATTGCACTCATGCAGCGTCAAATGCTTGCAGTTGCATGTAAACTCTTAATTAAAAATCCTGGCTTGCCCCCATTTCATGTAAACTCCTAATGTTGTCACTTTAATTGTGTCTAAAAAGCACCAAATGCCTATATTCTAATAAACAGTTATACTGTAAGAGAAGCACAGTTCAGAGAATCAATGAAAATAAAATGCAGAGTCACATTGGACCATGTGACAATGGCAAACTGATTTAAACTTAGCTTTTAGTAGCACATACCAAGAAAATATGAACACATATAAATGCAGCCAGTAAACGTAACATCTGTGAAGATTTATTACTCTTTCCAATCAAAGGAAAGAGAAAAGAAGGATAAAAAATAACCTCCGTATCAAGATCTGAGGTAGAATCAGTGAAGGAGCTAGGAGAGCCAGTAAGCAGAGTACTAAAAGAAATTGATCCATTAAAATCTCGATTTCTGACAAATCCAACTCTTGCATTCACTGGCCTTAGACCAAGAGGCCACCCTTCTTCCTGCAAATTCAAAGTCAAAAAAGCAAAAATGAGAACAGGTTTGATAAAATGTCTCACATTATACAACAACTGAACAGAGTCCTTTAGACAAACACCTTACCTGCAAAGCCATGAGTCTGTCTGTGTACTAGTTTTGCGTGGGTTTGATGATTGATATGCTAATGGAAGTGAGGGATCTAGATAAGATTTGGATTAAACAAAAAGAATCAATAAAAAAAAAAAAAATCGAAGTAGGAAAATGTGGAAAACAAAAATGTGATTCTCTCTCACATGCTGCTGCCAAGCAGCTTTGCATCTTTATTAAGTAGAGAGGACAAAGTAAGCGTGAGACAGAGAAGTGAAAGCTAAGTGTTACCAATTCGGTAGGTGCATATATGGTAGTGTAGACTGTGGATAGAATAGACAGCGGAAGGAGAAGAAGAAACAGAATAATTTTCCAACTAAGGGAGACAATGTTTACAGATTGCAGAGTGAGTCACGGCACCACTTTATTACGTGACCAAAATGTCCCTCGTCTTTGCCTACACAACACTACAGATAGCTTATTCCGTTGACTAAATTGGTAAAAAGACCCCGCTCCTTATAAAAATAAAAAGACCAATCAGATCAGATAAACTGATTGGAAATCTCTCTAAGATTTTGCTTAACTTTCACTGCATATATATATATATATATTGTCATTTATATTTATTAGATATCGGATGAGCCCAAATATGGTATCATTGATTATGCTATTTTTTGAACGAGTCTTTTATGGATAAAACTATGCAGACTAAAATTTTAGAACCGTTCTTTTTTAGAATCATTCTTTTCACCGTTGGATTTAAAATATTGAAAATTGAGCCATTAAATTTAAAATTTACTAAACAACTTGTGATCTAATTTTCTTATTATTAATAAGTAATTATATTTTCCAATACAACAATAAAAACAAAATTTCAAAAATAAATACATAATTAATTAATATCAAATTCAATTACTCAAAATACATTTATTTTTTTTCTTATGTTATCACTCTAATATTATTAACATTGAAATTTATTTTAATAGTAATATTTATTTTGAATTACTTATTAAAACTGTTATTTATTTTAATAAATTTTACTAATTTCAACTCATTTACATTATTTTTTAATAAATTTTACTAATGCTCAATTATTTTATAAATATTTAATATATATTTTATTAATTACGATTAAAGCCCTGTCCAACTCCAATTGACTTTTAAACCTTGATCCTCAGTCTTCACCAAGTAAATGACCGGGTCTGAAAATCTAGCTATTAAGCCTTTTACAAAAATACAAATCTTTTTATTTGGAATAACAAAAATCAAAAGCAAAAAGCAGAAATTAGTACCAAACAACCTATTGAATTGGACAAGAAAACCATTTCTGAAAAAGGTACCGACTCCTCTGTCGTCACACACAACTTTAGCAGGAACACTTTGAAAAAAAAGAAAAAGAATAAAACTGAAAATATTCAGCTTTGGTGAATATCAAAGTTTCGGCGTGTTTCAAGGAGCAACTTTTCATTTTCTGGTCCACAAACTCTGATAAGGGTATTACAGCTTAGTCCATGCTCCACCAGCATCCAGACAGACATGTATAATTTCTCTATCTAGTTATAAATAAATAAATAAACAACAAAAGCATCTATAACCAACAACAGTATTACCCCCTCGTTTTCATTGAACTAGGACCTGTTGCAGCTTATTTGCCCATGGCCATTAGTCAACATAAATACAGAATCATGAAGAAGGCTTAAGTAAGGAGAGAAAAGGAAGAGAGGAAGAGTTAATACAGTGCACATTTCGGGCCCAGTGGTGAACAAATTATGTAATTTAAATTCACAATTATTTCAATGATACTAGGCCAGTTTGGAATTGAGGTTAAAATTACTTTCCTGAGAAAATTATAATTTTAGATTGTGTTGGAAAAATAGTTATGGAGGCTGCTTTTGAAGCTTTTACTAATAGAACAAAGCAATGTGAAACACAAACTAAGTCTTGCAAGGAGCATTAGCAACTTATACTTTACCATAAGATTTTCTTCTTTTTTCTTTTTGCATTTACCCCTTACCTTTATGTTATCAAAAATGTAACAGAGCTTACAATCCTCAACAAATTTCACAATGTGGTATTTGCCCAGTTGTACAATGTGTGACTATCTATTGATGAAATTGGTTCACACCAGGTCGATATTCTCCAATTCCAAGTAGGTCCTGCGAATGTGTAAAAGCAAATTTCCAGTTTCAGGCAGACCAAATGGGCATTATATTCAATAATGTTTTAATTTACAAGTGCTTGTCCAGCATAGAGCATGCAATTGTTCAGGAAGGAACCAATTTGTATAAATTGCTTTAAAAGATATCTATCTTCTAGGGATCAATATTAACAAGAATAGGAATTGGAAATATTAAACATGTGAGGATCATGGATCAAACATAATGCTTCTGCTCCTTAATTAATGCACTGGGTGGAACAGCATAGCAATTAAGACAACAAAGAGCCAAAGCTATAATAGATAGTTCAATGATTGGACAACTTTTTCCATTCAGTTCATTCTTAAAAACAAAGAGCAGATAGCCAGATATAAAGCTATAAATCACACAGCTCACAGCACATGGTTATTACCACCCTTAACTAAACTATGTCAACCCAAACAAAATACTAACTAGGTAGAAGAGCATATGGAACCAAAATGCATTAAAAATGGACAGCATTTACTTCCTATCACTTCTAAATATAGTTCAATTATGCTACTTTTCTTGAGTGTTCTACTGCTCAGTTATGGTAGCTGGTTACTAACTTTGAGGCCATAACATACACAAAATTTTTTATTAAGTTGATTCAATAGTAAGAATTGGAGTGAATGAGGTCACCTGGTATATTGTTGCATATTTGTGTGTAAGAATTAGGTAGAAAGCAGCAGTATGAACTCAATAAATACCAAAACAAAATTTTATGAAAAAAGAGCAATAAGAGAGAGCAATACCTGGCAAGCTTTATTTTTTGCTCTTGTTTCAGCTGTACTAGGGACATCATGATTTGGTTTTATGAATCTCTTCTCACGTCGCTCACATGAGCCCCATCCATCTGAGAACCTACCCCCCCTAATGACATGAAATAGCAAGGCAAAGTAAAATTCACAAAATTGAGGTAAACTATATATAAGCCCCGATCCATCTGAGGAACGCTACCGCCCGCCTAATGGACATGACAATAAAGCAAGGCAAAGTAAAATTCCACAAAAATTGAGGTAACAAGCTATATATATATATATATATGCTATGATTAGAACGTAGAAGATATATAAATGTTTAACCAAATTATCTTATATCTATTCATGCCTTTGTTCTGGAAAACAATACAAGTACTTGCGATGTATGATGTTGGCCGCGAGACAATCGGAATGTCATGCAGCGCTGAACATGTTCGATTCGTCCATCAAAATTCAAATGGTCTTATCTTGTGGGATTATCATATGAGAGATTGAAGTAAACAGTGGAATGATCTTCCTCTCCACAACTGCTACAGATATAATGAAGACCGGAATCAAACACATATATATGTTTAACCAATTTCTTATACTATTACATGCTTTGTTCTGGAAAACAATAACATACTGCATGTATGCCCGAACAATGAATTCAGCACGCTGGACATTTCGATTCTCATCAAATTCAATGGTCTTATCTTTGATTTCATATGAGAGATTGAAGTAACATGATATCTTCCTCCAACCTACATATATTATGAAGACCAATCAAACATTCTGTGAAAGCACAAAAAAGTAGAGGAAACATCATAGTCCATTACCTGATTTTTTAATGAAGGGGTTCCCAGAAATCATGGTGTAGTCAGATTTCTCCAGAATCTGTTCATCAGAAAAAATTATCAAAGCGTGTTATAAATCAAAACCATGATATAAAGAAGAAAAATATGGTGAGATGAAAATCCAAGTGCCTCCACGTACATGTAAAAGAATATGTTAACATCAGGAGATGCTACAAGCCTACTGTACATTACATTTGATATCTTGTACAACCTTAATAGCCATCAAAATGCATGTACATTATTGCATTTGCAGGAAAGAATATCAGCAATTCAGCGTTTTAAAATTACCATAATAATGCTGAACGACCAAAAGAAAAATTCAGAAGAAAGTATTCAAAACACGCAATAGTTTGTTTGGGGCCATTAGATAAACACATTGTTTGGAGCAAAATCTGAAGATCCAGCAGTTAGCAGTGTAAAGTTACACACAAACAACAAGGTTGGGAATTTGTAATATGTTAGAACCTCCAATTACTAGCCACCAACTACCAAAAGCTAAACAGAATCATTAAACCAAGCAGGCACGTAGCACTCTGCCCTTTGCTATAATGCTTGTGTGTGGAGAATAAAGTAAGTTGAAACTTCCAACTCCATAGCAATTGCATTTGTTACTAATTTCCAACACCAATGCTACTGTAGAGTTCAGCTCACTTTTGTATTTCATGAATTCTGCTACTTCATCCATATCTCTGTTTAGATTTGGATCATTCAGAAAAGCAAAAATAGGGAATAAAATATTTTCCATCAATTAAATTGTTAAGCAAAGAATTTCCTCACAAATAACCTTATGAAGCTTCTGTAATCAAATTGATAATTAATTATGGGTGCAAAGCAATTTATTCGCGTTATTCATGCTCACTTTACTAATAGCTATGCCACAATTCTTAATTTCTATGTATTTTCCAAGACAATGTAAATTGGAAAAGAGCCTAAAAACTCAAATCTTATAAGCTCTGAATTTCAACAGGTAGGACCGAGTAGTTTGAGACTAAGACACCGTTTCCTGCATTTCCAGTTATATATCTCCTTCTATTCAGTTTTGGCAAATTTGTTACTGCTAATCTTTTCTTCTATCCTACCACTTAGCAAGCACAACAACTTAAGCAATTACCGCCATAGCTGCGTTCTGATAGTCCTTAAAAAGCGAAACCGATGGAAACTTCCCATTCAAGCAATGTATCATAACATCCTTCTCTTCATTACGAACATAACTTCCTGGAGAAACTATCGATCCTCCATCACTGAACTCATTCGGACTAAACCTCCGAATCTGCGGCGACAAGTAAGCTTCAGGAGACGAATACGCTGCCGTATTAGTAATAGGAGTCCTTACCATAGCCAGTGGGCTAGTGACATCGCTAACCTCAGAACCGCAAGTTCTCGCAATCTTATAAGGCCTGCAATAAGGATCAGAATTGGGCGATTTGTTTTTAAATTGAGATCTAGGGTTTGGAGGGAGTTTTGAAGGAGGAGAAAAATTAGAGATTGGCGTAGGTGGAGAATGGAAATTAGGGTATTTAAGAGCGAGAGGCTTACGGGACTTGGAGGAAGAGTGACAAGCCTCCGCGGAGTCGATTACGGCCCACAAAGCGGCGTCGTCGAGGTCTTTGTCTTCGATTTGGTGAGAGATAGATGAAGTCATCTGGATAGAGCTCGTGTTTTGGGATTTTGACGGTCGAGCTTTAATGGAGAGAGCTACATGAAGGATTTTGGGTGCTATAGCGGGGAAAGAGGTGGATCTGTGGCCATTTTTAGGGATTATGGGAGGAGCTGGAGGAGAAGGATGAAGGCGGCAAGCTACAAGAACAACTTGAATTCAAATTTTCAAAATGGATGCGCAGTTTAACGGTGACGTAACATTGTCTAAACGGGGCCGTTACTGTATTTGTTGATTTGGGTTTGCTCGTTTAGACAGACCGAGCATCGGCACTAAAGATCACAATGCCAATAGAGCCCTCGTAATTAGGCATGGCCGGTTCAATGAACCGCCGGTTTCGGTTCATTGAACCGCCGGTTCGAAATGTTTAAAATTTTAAACCAGAACCGGTCCTTGAACCTCCGGTTCCGGTTCTGGCACGGTTCAGCACGGTTCCGGCGAACCGACGGTTCAAATTACGGTTCCGATTCGGTTTCGACATTACGCAAATTTTTAAAAAAATAATAAGATTTTGATTAAAGCATTTTTTATTGGACGTAAAAATACATTTAATGTTGTTAATGCATCTTGAACACATAAATTTAAAATATGACATGCACATCTAGTGTGAAAAAACGGTGCGGTTCGGTTTTCATTGAACTCGCCTCTGAAAAGGTAGGTCGCTGGGATCGAAATGTTTAAAATTTTAAACAGAACGGTTCCCTGTGAACCTCCCGGTTCCCGGTTCTGGCAAGGACGGTTCAGGCAGCGGTTGCACGGGGGCGGAACCGCGGGACGGTTCAGAATATTACACGGTTCCGATTGGTCGGGTGTTGCGGGACATTACGCACAAATGTTATAGAAAATAGGTATAGGATTTGAGAAGTTAAAGCATTTATGTTATGTGGACGGGTTAAAAAATAGGCAGTTTAAGTGTTGTTAGATGGGCATCTTGAACACGATAAGATTTAAAGTAATTTTGTGACATGCAGCATCTCTAGTGTGGAAAAACTGTCCACCAAGATTACAGGTGAACCAAAGAGTTTTTTAATTCATTTATTGATGCGGTATTTCGTGGCAGCTGTGGCATTATCAAAGAACAATTGGGTATAAGATGATTTTTTTTTGAGTCAAACCCATGATTCTTCTATGGTAAATAGATAATTATAACAGTGGGCTAAAAAATTAGGGCGCGTGTGAGAGTCATGCGAAAAACTCTAAATGCAATAGATTATCTGGTATGTTTCAGTTTCCATCATTATCGATTCCAATGGGATGGTAACACCCATTATAAGAATGAGTTTTGCCAAGCATACACAAATCAAAAATATCAACAACCAAATATCACATAAACAAATAGCAGATTTTAGGTTCTTAAAATTTTACAAGAGTAAAATTCCTTATAAATTTCTTTTTCTTTTAAATAAAATAAGAATGATAATAAGGGTCCCGTTTTAAGGTGGTACCGTTTCCTATAGGTATCCCTTTTTTGCTAAAGGATTAAAATGCTTTTTTTTAACAGTAGTTATTAAATCCAATTTTTTCCACCAAATTGAAAAATGGATAATCGTATTCCAGCTACAAACCATTTTTATGTCCATTTCAATTTTTATTAGTTTCATTCACTACATATTTAAATAGAGGAGTGTTAGGGGGATCTACCAATACTTGATGACCGATAATTCGAGTTGTGAGTATCCTACATCCATTATCCATACCAGTAATTCACTTGGATGATGTGAGTTTTACAAAAAACCTATTGAGCAAGTGCCCAATAGGTTGTCAACGACCCGTTTCCGTGGGCCGGAGCCGCACTAGGGGCCTAGGTGATTCTTAAAGGCCCCCGAGCCCGCGTAGGTAAGCCTAAAATTATTCATCTGTTCTACGAGTGACTTCTGTCGCTTAATTCAACGCAAAACAGTAAGCCCAATATGACTAAGATATAAGTTTATAAAATTTTGCGAAACATCTGGCCCAAGATACAAATAATAACATAAAATGAATTAGACCGAGGGCCTATTTGGCACTAGAGTGAACGGTCATAAATCAACATAAGGGGCTTTACTAGTTGTTAACGTCTCGCAGTTTAATGTAGCAGCGCAATAATTGAAGTGGTTATAGGGCACGTAGTGCTGGATATCAGTAAGGTCCAATATTTATAAATACAGCAAAGCTCCTACGTAACTGCGGAGTCCCAAAAATCTGATAACAGAAATAAATTTTAGGTAGCAGCATTGCAGAGAACTTAAATATCAAGAATAAATCTAAAGCGTTATAACATTTGTCAAAACTGCTGCCGGAGAAAGATTTGCAGAGCTTCGAGTTGATATCTAGCTGCTTCTAGTACGATGGGGAAGGTGTTTGTGTGGGGGGATGAGTGTTCAAGCTTCAGATGAATGAAGTGAATGTAAAATAGATGAGCCACATCACAAAGTCAGCGGGTGCACGACAATATGCAAGGACCTAGGAATAATTCTCTGAATGTACACACCAACAGTTCAAGGTCATACTGGCATCATATCAAAGGCTGAGGTGGTTAAGCACTGGGTCATCAAAGACAATATACCGGGTATTCAAAGTCAATTGGCCACATACCCGGTGGAAAAGAGTGCAGAGGCGAGTCCACCGAACGGGCGGGGCCGTACGAGGAAGGTCCGTCCCTCGTGGCCTACAGTGCTCATCCCTACTCAGCGGTGCGACCCAGGGGCGCCGATCCTTCATGACTGGCCGAGGAAGCGCTGAATGAGCGGCTCTAGTGATTCTTACGCTGACCAAGCCCTCATCATATCTGGTTTTTCATTTCCCCCTCTTCCCCACCGTGCAGGGGCGTTGTGCTTTCCCGATGGGTAGGCCCTCGGTTTTCTTTTGTCCGCAAACCGAAGCCCAGGGAGGGTTAACGCGGCCGCGCTCGATCAAATTCTAGATGCATCGGGCGGCTCACAGAGCGGGGGGGAGTGAGGCGATCTAGGGATGCGCACCGAGCTCCGGGGGCTGCGATCAAGATGCTTCTAAGATATGTCGCGGAGTGTGGGTAACGTCGGGCACCCAAGTAGAGAGAGGAAATGCCAGTAGAGCTCTATTAGCGTTCGGTGCATAGTCTACACAGATGCATGTGAGCAGGTAGGTGCACACGGGGCGCTGATCTCCCATTTTTACGGCCGTGACCAAATTTCATATCATACAGGATCCATATAACATGAATAGCATTCGTGCACAGAACCCACTGGTGAACGGCATCACTTCATGCCCAATTGCCACACAAAGCAAGATCACAGCAATAGGCCAATCAGACAAATAGGGAATAGTATCGCAGAATTCATTTCATCATAATACTCAAATTTTCACCAAGATGCACAATTATAATAATATAGGTACTAAATTATCATAAACCTAGTGAAGATTCGAACGATAAATACTAATATGCGGGATAAATAATACCTGTATAAGTGATAGTGCTAAAAATATATGTAGAGATAAAAATGATAAGAGCGTTTATAAATAAAGTTATGCTCAAAAGATGTGCCAAGTATTTGGATTATGCATTAATTTAATTAGTACATGCAGCAGGATTGATGGCACGAGCCGGAGCATGATGTTCCTAGCGTTGTTGATTGTTGTCCTGGAGGAGCACTAGATAGTGGACCCGGGCGATCTAAGCCAAAGTAAGGATGCCAAGTAATGATCGAGAAAGAAATATACTCTTTCTAGACAAAATATTTCGCTTAGTCTGAACGCGATCTACTATATATTATGGTTAAGTTTCATAGTGTTATGTGAAGTTTTTTCAGTAATTTAGAGTCTCGATATGTTAATTTCTTTTCTGTGACAAAAATCTTTTATTTGTCATATCTAGACCTTTATTTGTACATGGTTATTTTCTGCTGAAGATCTGATTTTTATTTGCCACCCTCGGAAATCTAGTTTTGTTTCTATACCGGTAGTTGGTGCACGTGTCTGAATAGAGGGGGAACGCGTAAAGCGGTGCTGGGCTGTGGCGGCGGGGTGGCTGGTGCGGCCGAGCGTACGCAGGGAGCATGTAAGAGTCGCAGGTGTCGATGGGCAGGAGCGGAAGCACGTACAGGGATGCTATCGGCCGCGTCGGTGCGGTATGGGCAGTTAGGGACGCTCGGCAAGGGCTCTTGTGGGTTACCTGCGGTTTGTGTTTGGGAGAGTGCGTTCGTATTGATGCGGAGGCGGGTTGCGAGGCGTGGTGGTCGAGAGGGGTGCGAGGCGGTGCGGAGTGTGGCGCTGATGTCTGCGTGAGGCGGCTGTCGAGGGGCGGGTGGAAAGGCAGTGGTTCCGGGTGATATTGGGGTCCGAGTACTGAGGTCGGCTGTGCGGTTTTTGTGATCACGCCAAGCTCGGAAATTATTATGTATTGTATTTTCTATAGGCCGCTTTTAAATTGTTTGCATGGCATCTCCCCTAAAAAGTTTGGAGCTATGTGCTTATACCTGTTGAGAAAGGTATCGGAACGACTGATGGATATAGTCAATATTTCCAAAGCCACACGGCCCATCCATGCGGGCAATCATCAATGTCGCAATTTTCGCGCGCCATAGCTCCATGCGCACGAATGAGGCGAGAGTATCAACGATTCACGATTCAACCTTAGACACAGTGCACGCAGCTGAGGCATGTCCAAAATTTATAAATTAAATACATTAAAAAGAAATAACGGGTCTGGATCCTATCCTGTTCATATTCACGTACCACTAAATTTCATAGAATGTTTATTATTTACCGTGGAAAAATTTTTGCCTTAAATAAAGGATTACATGTTAATACTAGGGAATATAATATTAACTAGTACTTAGGTCTAATCGTGTTTATTAATCGAATGGTAATGTGTAGCTTCGATATTAGATAGAGTCAACCTAAAGCCTAATGGGGTTCATTGGAATTCAGTTTTAAACCTAGACTTAAATAAGCTAAAGAGTTACTGGTGTTATTATTTATGATAATTAATATCACTATTATGTGAATGTAATTTAATTAACTCAGAGTGTAATTTGAGAACAGCTAAAATACAGGAGTTACACTAGAATCTGAGCCAAAGGTTGAATGTAGATGTTTAACTAATCAAGGAAATATGGGCTGTAAAGTATGAAACTTAAAGTTAGCCGTTGGGGCGAGAGGATTCTAAAAATCGGATTTAGCTAAAGGAGATCAATAATCAACTAAAATTTATTAAGGAAGGTTAATTAAACTGTAACGTAA